CACACACACACACACACACAGATAGATATTCGAAGTATGTATTGTGAATTTCATTATATATAATGTAATTAAATCATCCATTTTCCCTTGCCCATTCAATAAATTAGCCACTATTTGTTGTTAACTAAACTGAATAGAAGTAATATTGAATAGAACACTATAATTAATTCAATGGTATAAGAAAATGGACAAAAAAGAAATAGGCATACCCCCAGGATCATGGTCTGCCATCGATGAGCCCCGCTCTCCTGTCCTTACCTGCTGCATGAGTCCCTGTGTCTTCACTGCTGGGTAGAGAGAGGGTCAGGCCATAAACTCTCTGTCATCTCAAGTAACACCGGGGACATGGCCTGAGACATGGGCTTCTTGCCGCATTTTCAGTGGCTGTAATTTTATAATTGATGCAGCAGCTCTGCTGTGGCACATTCAGTGGTTTCTAACTATTCACAGCTAAGCTGAGTAAGAAGAGAATATGGGTGTTGTCAGCCTCATTCTTTATAATGGAGCCTTAGATGCTGAATTTCCAGGTTAAATGTATACAGGTTGAATTTCATAGTCACAGATTTCACACCTCAAGTTTCTACATAGATGGCAGCCTGGGAGAGGAAGCCCAAAGCTGTGCAGATCTCTGTTGAGATCTGAAGGTGGGGGAGATGGACCAGGCAGAGGTGCTGGACACCATGACTCCTAGCAGGAACCATGGCAAGAAAGGCCCAGATTCAGGCCTGCTGATCCATGAGTGAGCTTCTTAGCAAAGCAGCGCAGCTTGCAGGCTGGACAGGAGATGGCTGGAATGGCCCTGTTGCCAGAGCTCCTCTGTGCAGGCTTGAGGCCCTATCTCCCTCTGGGGACCTTTGTTCAAGAAGGTCACCCTGTTACAGAGCCCACCTTGACTGAATGACTTCCACTCAGGTGCAGATCTCAACTGCCGCATATGGACTCACCACAGCTGTGGAGCAGTTCAGAAAATGGGGACACTGCAGGCTGGTCAAGGTATGGAGCTTGAAATAAGAGATGGGCTCATGACTGCTACAGGTTCCTTCAGTAGAAGCAGCATGGTGAGAATATTTTGCTTAAAAGACTAAATAACTGAAAGTAGTTACTCACAAGAATATACACTGTAGGGTTAGTTTAAGGATACCAAAGAAAATGGCTGCATCCCTAAGTAAAATGAAATATGACCCTTAATGGATGTGTGGTTTCCTTTGATGTCACTCACCCACAGACATCAGGGACAGACACACTGATGAACAGAGCAAAAATTAGAATCAAAAATCAATATTCAAAAACCAAAAGAAACCCGTGGAAATTAGGACTGCAGGGAAAATAATGTTTTACACTGGCCTGGCCTTCTGGAGGGCAGTGTGCCCCAAGTAGCTTTAACTTTCACACCTTTCTGGGGGTCTGAATTCAAACAATCATTAAATTCTGGGAGGGGTTAAATAAAAAGAGAATGTGCTTCAAGGACACCAAACCTCAGTCCCAGTGGAGAAGGCAATTAGAGTGATGCTCTGAAGAACATGCTGACCACAGTTAAAAAGCAGAGAATCCAAAACAGTGTTAATGGGATTTTCAGTCTTACACTCTGTGAAAGAAACTGCAGGCTAGGAAGGTAGCAGATAGCTTAAGTAGATCGTCTCTTTCTGCAAAGTGTCTAAAAACCGAAGCTGAACATTTTATTCCATGAATACACAACATTGCTATCAATTACCAATGCAGGATAATGTACACCTGTAATCCCAGCACTCTGGGAGGGTGAGGAAGAATGAGGAAAGATTTAAGCCTAGCCTGGGAAACTTAGAAAATTAGTGAGACCATGTGTTAACATTTGTAAATAATTTTACAAATGTATGAAAATATCCATCATTTAGAAATTCCAGAAATCCCAGTGCAAGGTACGTTAACCACTATTAATCTACAATCATTTTTACCATTTTATACACTCAAAAACAGTATCTTTATAAGATTCTTATCATTATTTCAGAAAAAATAGTAATCCCTCGATCAAATTCTTGTTCAAATATAAATTTAGGACAGAAAAAATAAGAATGATCAAATTCTCTTCATACTGAGCTACTCATATCCTAAGAGTGTAAATTCAGTAGCATATCTGCACTCATTTCAGTAAAAACTTTAAAAAATTAAAACAGTGGAAACACCAGGCAGAACATCAATGCGTACATGATGGTAAATCTTATGCTAGTTGTGTTGACTAAAACACATATTCAGGAAAACCTCACAAAGATTTGATTTCTCAATTGACAGGTGACTTTGACTTTTCATTTTTATATTATTTCATTTTCTTTCTTTCTTTCTTTCTTTCTTTCTTTCTTTCTTTCTTTCTTTCTTTCTTTCTTTATTTTGTTTTTAGAAAGGGTTTTGCTATGCAGTTCAGGCTGGTCTTCATCTTATCTTGTAGCCCAGGATGACCTCAAACTCACTACAATCCCCCTGCCTCAACCTTCTAAGTACTGGAATGATAGGTGTGCACCAACATCCCTGACTGAGTTTTCCTTTTTAAAATTTCTCCAAAGCAAAATTAGTCAGATTATGTTATATTCTTATATTTTCTCAGGTTGATTATTCAAAGTCAAATCAGAAAGGACTTAAAACATGCTGGAGGAGTTTCAAAATCATAACCAACACATAACATAGTGGAACATAACATAGCATGATATATTATAGCATAATAAAACAAAACAAAACAAAAACCAACCACTTAACTCTGCTTGAATCAACTGCTTCCAAAGATACTTTAAGAATTTCTAAGGTAGCCATACAACAGAAATATGATCCAGTAATTTCACATTCAAGCACTATTCTTTGAAATAAAACATATATACACACAAGAACATGAATAAAAATGGCTGTGGTACCCTGCTTTCAAGAGTCAAGCCATAAACAGAACAAATCCCCATCAGCACATAGGTGACACATGCATGAACAAGTCGCAGTTGTTTGGTTCAGCCCCATAGTAGCAGTTCGTGACAGCACAGGAGGAGCCCAGCACGGAGACACTGCTTGAAGTATACCAAGCAAAGGGAATTGCCACTAAACAGGATGAGCAACATCACCTACAGGAAAGGCAAACTACCCAGGAGGGACACAAAGCTCATGGTCTGTTTGGGATGGAAGGACAGGAAGTGATAGCAGCTGCTAGTAGACAAGTTCCCTAAGAGTGACACGCATGTGTCCTTCATCCACATGGGGCAATGATGTTCATGGCCTTGCAAAGTATTCCCTTGCTCTCACCACCTGCTGTCCCCCCTCACAGGCTGTCAGACTACAGAGCACTACAGTATGTGGCTGAGGTAAAAATCCAAGGACTCATAAGTAATCATTCATAGGCATGTGAGAGCAAGACTTGCTAGGAATCCTCCTCCCCTGGACATGTGCTGTTTTAACATGAAACATTCACATTCTTCAAGGGAAAACATGGGCATTCTGGGAATATCTCCATGCTCCCTAATGGAATTGAAATGAAACTAACACATGCCCAGGAAAGCAAGTCACCTGAAAATGTGAAATATCTCTAAGTGAAGACAGTGAACACCTCATCTTCAGAGACAAGGGGTCCTTTGGATGGAATTGTGTGCTTGGCACCATACCTGCCACATTTGAAGCATCTACATGTTTGCTGCATTTAAATTTTCAAAGTTCAGAAAAGTGTAAAACCACACTCAGTTTTCCAGTTTTTCACCTGCTATTTCTAAGGAGAACAGATTTATTCCACAATAAAAATAAATTGGGCATTAGAGGTGGCAGCCCAGCTATGGATCCAAGTGTATGACCTCATTTGCTTGGCAACAGATCTAAACAGAACTCTGAAGGCTCTGGTCACCAAGCACCTTGGTCTAGTGACAGTTGGCCTTCACAGGCACTTGGCTAGAGAGAATGTTAAGTCAATATGTTATGCTGCATTCCCAGGCCTCAAAACCCCAGCCTCAGGACCCGCCATGGGAAAACTACCTGTGAACAAGTGAGAGGATGGTTCATTCAGCCAAGATACTTCAGGATGCTCACCGGGAACTGCCCAACCATCAAAGGCAGCACAGGACAAGATTCACCAGGCCTAGTTCCCAGGCACTCAGACAGAAGAGGGAACCTAGGCCAGATGTCCCTAGGCTCTGCCACCAGCCACTCAGAGACACAGACAAGGCTATTTAAGCCTGGCCACCACTGTAAGTCTGCATAAACAATTCCCTCCCTAGGTCATCAGTGTGAGGGGGTCTGAGGACAGGCACTGAGGGCAGATGCTCCTGGGCAGGGACAGGGAAACTGAGCCTGGGCTACTGTCACATTCACATTCCCATCTAGGACAGGGCTGGCAGGAAGAGAAGGGCAGTGGCCATGTTTATCCACAGCCTCCAGAGTCATGGCCTGTCCTCCTGGGTAGAAGTCTGGGACAGTGCTTTTTGTCTTTCAGGAACATAAGTTTATGTTGTTTAACAAAGTGAATCCTGTGGTTTCTCAGAGCCTCAGGCTTTCTCTAGGCTTCTGGGCTCTGGCCCAACAGAGCTGTACACAGGACACCGGCTTGGAGCTGGTCCCTGGGCCCTGTGTGTCATGTCCCGGCTCTAGACATGGTACCCACAATAACAATAGATATCTGCTCTGATGCAGGGTGTGTCAGCAGAAAGGACTGTATAGTGCCCCATAGAGTACTGAGGGGAATTTAGGTCAGATTAACCCTTTAAGCACATCCATCCAGGACTTGTCAAACACTGCACCTGTGGTCCTGCTCTCAAGCAATCTAGATGCTAAGTGCTCAAATACCATATCCTCTTTATTCAGATTCTACCTTGTCACCAGCAAGGTCATTGTGCACACATTGATGGGAGAATGGGAAATGGGACACAAACACAAAATCACTTCATTTCTTGGCATGATTGAATTCTGCCATTGTATCTCATTTTCAGCCCTAGGCCTGGTGTCCATGGACCATTAGCTGGCTGCCTCTCCACCCTTACACATCATCAACTCACCACACATGTTCTCACCTCAAATGTCAGTCCACTCTGTCCATTTCTCTGGCACTTGTCTTACAGGAATTTTTCAGGCACTGCAGTTCCTATCATAGGAGCCTCCGGGCTAAATGAGCACAAGAAAAGAGCAGTGAACACAGCTGCTCACCTTCCATGGCTATGTAAGAGTAGCTTAATTCCTTCCTGTGGATATTCTATCAGGAAACTGGGGAACATTCTGTGGGGCCTCATTAATGGATCTGGACATCTAGAATGATCCTCCATTTTCTCATCTCTAAAATTGGAGGCCGTCTTAAGACTCATAGGTTTTATTAATGCATATACTTCTATTCTGCGTCTCCTATATTGAAGTGATGTGAGCATGGTAGAATTCCTTAGTGAGCCCTGTAGCACAAGCCTCTGTGGACCATTTGGAGTGTGGGCTTTGCTTCAGCTCCAACCCTTCTGAGAAGTCATGTGCATGACACCAATTCCATGTCTCCCCACTGTCTCATCACAGATCAGAAGTCAGCCAGTAGAGAGCCTTCAGATGTCTGTACAGCAAGCCAGGTGCAGGCAGATGGACCTCACAGCCTGAAGGAGACTCCAGACTTAGCCTTCCTGGACAGCTGCCCCAGCTCCGGCCATTCCTCTCTGGCTTCCTCCATGGCTGACATTTCAGTCCTGCAGCCACCAAAGCTGTGAAGGTGAGTTCTTAACTTAGCAGCCCAGTGAGACTTGGCCACCTGCAGACTCAGGTCCTGGCCATGTGCAAGTTCATCACTCAATCTCAGTTTAAAATGCTGAATGATGAGGTGCTGAGTGGATTGAGAACTCAGGGTCACTGAAGATGAAATGGGGGCTCCATGCAAAGAGGTTAGCTGTGGCCTTGGCCCCATGAAGACCTACAGTAGAGCCTGTGCTGATTCCCATGAATGATCTTCCATCCCCTTTACTGACCAACACTTGGCAGAAGCTTTCTCTTCTTTGGAAAGGAGATTGAAGAGTCACTATATGGGCCTCAGGGTTTGTTCAACACAGGATACCTTGAGTACAGCACAAATCCATGACTGTCAGATATCATGGAAGAGCAAATAGGTTTAATTATGCTACAAATACACATGAAGACACACTGTGTGCAGACACATTTCTGGGTATTGGTCGTGACCTTGTAAGCAGAGCAGATGCAACTCCTGCCCTTTGGAGTTACAATGTTCTTTGGAGGCCACAGAGTCACTATTTGCAGCAGAACAGACATTGCTCACCTAAAAGTAATTTTTCCGGACCCCAGGCCTCCCTAGGTGTGGGTACAGAACATGCATAATTGGGTATAGCAATGGATCACTGCCTAAGCTAGAGTCTGCAGAGAGGTAAGACAGATACCAACTGACCTCTCACTTCTCAGATATTCATGGAGCAGCATCCCTGATGCATTGAGTGCCATGACATGGCATATAGCAGTCACTGCCTTCACCAAGCTGACTGCACTGGGGAAGGGCAAGGAGACAATGTGTCAGCAAGCAAAAGTGTGATATATCTATGCAAGGTCTCCCTCTCACAGAGACTTCTTTCAGCCTCTAAGGGCTCCTTGGCCCAAAATGCCCCAAAATGAGAATGGAAGAGGCTGTGGCTGGATGCTGGACAGCCTGGGTAGAAGGCCTACACCCCCCCCCCACAGATGACTTGCCCAGGAATATCAGGCCTCTCACTCAGCCAGCTCCCTTCTGCCCCAGGTCCACATCTTCAGTGCTTGACTCTTCATTGGAACTGTACTTCCATGTAGATCCCCAGGCTAAGCTTCTTCAGGAACAGCTAGAGCATCCTGAACCTCCCAGGCCTGAGCTCCAGAGTTTATGGGCTTGTGGGCAGTGGATATGCCTTGGAACTCAGCAAAGTGCCCAAATGCTGTGTGACCCAAGAGCATGAGATCCTCAGCAGTCAGTGTAGGGATGTAGTCTGGGAGGCTTTGCTGGGGCTGAGCTGGTGCACACAGCTGCCTCTGACAGGCAGTGGGAAGGTTTTGCCCAAGAAATCCATGAACAGTTGGTGATATTTTCTCTTCCTGAAATTACAGGGCCAGTTTCAGTCCATGCATAAGTTGCACCTCCTGACCTTGTGCCAGCTCCACCTGCCAGCTCCCTCACAAGCTCTGGCCCCACAGCAAGAGCCAGCACTTGGATTCCCTTGTCCATCAGCTGCAGAGCTGGACCTCCTGGGTGCTCCACAGCAGGAGTCATCTCTTGAGTTCTACCTGTGGGCAGCTCTTGACCCACACCTGCCATTCCACTCTCTTCCAGTTTTATTTATCATTGTATTCATCACTAGTCTTATTTCTCAGAGATTTGTTAGTGCCAGAACAAACTAAATAAAATTTAACATTTTAATGAAGTTTAAAGTAATCAGCTTGCTGGCATTTAGTGTATTCTCAATGTTGTGCGGATTTCCCCAGTGCAATGTGAATATCCAATAACAAGAGAATGGACATATACTCAAGGACAGCCTAACCTCCAAGAGAGTGCAAGGCTGACCAGAGCTCCAAAGTGAGACTATGTATTTAAATAAAAAAATTAAATGAAAAAAATAAACAACCAAGGAGAGAGAAAGACTATTCAAAAAAAAAAAAAAACAATAATAGAGCTGTGTGAAAGTTGACTTCTCTAAAATGGAAATTATTGAATGATGGAGCAGAGGAATGAAATCCATGTAGTGACATCCAGGAGGCTGTGACCAACACAGACTTAGGAATGGCACCTATTGTGCTACAGTACAACAGTGACCTCCTTCCTCCAATACATTTGCAGTTCACTAGACTGAGGACTTCTAAAAGCTAATGGAAATGTTAAACCCATGGCAAACAAGCAGCTTGAAATCCAGGCTTTGGAACATGGCCTTTAGCAGACATTTCATATTCAAATTGAAATAAGAGAAATATAATCCTGCCCTGTTTAATGTCAAATGCACCAAGTTTAATGGCTTACAACATTGAGAAAGGAAGTCACAAACCAGAAAAAGTTCAAAAATTTTCTTAGGAAAAAAGAGAAAAGTATACCCCTGAATTTTCAGGAGTGGTCTTCAGTGTTTGTCCACAGACATATTGTCAGGGGTCATTTATACAGGAAAGTTACAATGTTGGTACAGTGTGTGTCTCAAACTACAATCAAAATATAAGCTTAAAGCTGCTTAACTAATATTATGCAGCAGGGGAACAAGTCAGCCAGAAAATGTATGTGGAAAGAGCCAAGGCATTTTGTGGGAACAATAGTCCAGTTGTTCTTGTCATTGAGTATGGTAATTGATGAGTATCAGGACTTCCTGGAGGAAGTGGTGGTAACTGTAGTACATTTCAAGCTGTTGTTTTTCTCTTCAGGAGCATGTAGACATGGTCACTGCATCTTCTCCTTCATGCCTGGCTTTCTTCAGCTGTGCCTGTAGCAGTGATTGTTGTATTTAGTTTTTTGCATTGACTCTTTGAGGTTGCATTTCCTCTCCGATTGTATATCAATTTCTGTCTTCATTGACATCCTTTGCTTAAATCACAATACTATTTGAATGAATAAAGTGATGTTTATACATTTAAAAATATTCATTAATACAGGCCAGGGATTTAGCTGGGCAGGCAGAAACGCCTGTCTGGAAAGTGCTAGGTTGTAACTTTGATCCCCGGTACCTAAAAAAAAAAAAAAAAAAACATAATTTAAACTGCAAGGAAAGAAAATAATTTCATTTAAGAAAATGTAGGTTTAAAAAATTTATAACTAAATATGTAAAAGGCAAATTAAGCATTGTTAATAGTCATATTTATTATCTAAAGTAGTTGCGGCTGGGAATTGAGCTCAGTGACACAATGAGCTGCCTGGAGAGCACAAGGTCATGAGTTCAATACCTCATAGAAAAAAACAATTCACAGTTGTCAACGATGCAGTGCTATTAGCACATTTATTGAGACTAATACTTGTTAATTATTGGGCTCAATGTTTCTTTTGTGGTCTATTAAATACATGCAGATTACATGGCAATTACAGTGAAAGATATGCAGTCACCTATAGGTTGCAGCTCCCTCACCAGCTCTGGCCCCACAGCAAGAGCCAGCACCTGGATTCCCTTGTCCATCAGATGCAAAGCTGGACCTCCTGGGTGCTCCACAGCAGAAGTCGTCTCTTGAGTTCTACCTGTGGGCAGCTCTTGACCCACAACTGCCATTCCCCTCTCTTCCCATTTTATTTATCATTGTATTCATGACTACTCTTATTTCTCAGAGATTAGTTAGTGACAGAATAAAATAAATGAAATTTAACATTTTAATGAAGTTTACAGTAATCAGCTTGCTGGCATTTAGTGTATTCTCAATGTTGTGCAGATTTCCCCACTGTGCAATTCCAGAATATTCTTCAAATTTTTAAACAATGCTTTTTTTTTTTTTTTTTTTTTTACTTTCCCCTGTTGCTCCACCCCAGGCACCAGTGATCTTATGTCCTTATAATTAACTTATGTTACCTTTCCCACATCAATGCCATCAAGTTTTCTTTGCCCAGAGAATGGTGATAGTGACTTTTTAGGGTTAGTTAGATTTAGGGTTCAGGTTAGAGTTAGGGTTAGGGCTAGACTAAGCTTCCAAATATTGCATCATACCCACTGCAATGATCATAAAGAAAGAACAATCCATACAAAGCAGTGCTTTGTGCTGGCAATGGCTTGGCCCTGAGCTAGATTCTCAATGCCCTCAACATTGAGAACAGTCATGAGTTGATGGACTGCACCATTGTGCACAAGGTAGGGCCTAACTTCCATTCTATGCATCACATGTGCCATGGACCTATCGAAAACATAATCAGTACACACTGTAAATAAGTAGTAATAAAAATATGATAATTTATAAGCAAAACACACAGCAAGAAAATCCACTTCTGATATGTTAGAATAAAAGCACAACTGATGAAAATCCTCATGCAGGAAGGACACATTCTACCTGGCCAGCACTGAGTCTTTCATGCACATGCAAACCTGAAGATCAAAGCATCAGGTGTCCTCAAACTAAGACCTCACTAATGGAATTTTGGGGCCAAACTTACTATCATAGGAACTGCACTTTTATACTTTGCTCTGTGCAAAACCTAACAGAGACACATAGAGATCTCACTGTGTGCTGACTCCCCAAGTTCCCCAGAAGCAGATCACTTGGGAAGACAAGTGAACCCACACTGCCAACAGCTGGTGATGACTAAGTCATAGAACAGAAAGTGAAAACAAAATGCAGGCAAATCTTCTGGAGGATCCCTCATTGGGCTCCCATGTCCAGCCTTTGTAGCTCTGCTCAGACTCCTGATTTCTAGCAAAGTGATCAAAATAGCTGTCTCTTCTCTGGCCTCAGGATACAGGCTCAGAAGTGGGTGTAACACTTACAGCTGGAAGTGCCTCTTGTCCTTCTATATTTTCTGTCTTGGCAGAGAAAGCCCCTTGTCTTCCTCTACTTTCCTGCCCTGCGTGACCAATGGAGGTTCAAAGGCTGAACTGCTGCCCAGCGGGCTGTTTGGAGATGGTTAGCAGGGCATTCAACATACATTTTATCAACATACTTTTATATGTGACATGATAAGAATAGGTGCCTTGCAGAGTATATAAGGAGCTGATTTCAGTAGGGGTTGTGATGGGCATGGGTTCTCCCTAAAACACGTTAATGCTATGCCTGGTTTTAACTCACTATGAACCACAGGAAAAGTGAGTCCCCAGGGGTTCAGGAATCAAGGGAGGCTAAACTATTCTCGTAAGTAACTCCACTGTGTGACAGTGGGGTCAACAGATAACACTGTCCTTGGCCTTCAGCCTGGGGATTGACTCATCTGAGCCCATTGTCTGACCAGTCTGCTTGAAGGCTGCACATCTGTTGCTTGGGGAGCTGCATTCCAGGTCAAGGTCAGAACATTTTAGAACTTTAATGCTTTCTGCATACAGAGGAGGGATGGAAGTGAGGCAGATGTTTGTCACAGGGCTTAGGAATTGATCTTCAAGGTGCAGGCTTGAAACTGGTCTCTTTTCTAAAGCTGTACCCCAAAAGAGATTTGGGCTTTAGGATGTTATGTGTGCCTTGGAACAGGGGACAGAGGCTTTAGTTTTGTGGTGCATTAAAGTTCCCTGTGTCTGTGGTATGAGATTTTCTCAGAGATAGGGTGGTGCATGGATATTTTAGTGGGTAAAAGGAGAAGAAACCACAGAGCCAACATTAGCAACAGCAATAAACAAGCATCTTGATTATCAAGCCTGGATATATCATCCATCATTAGGCATTACGTTCTTGCATACTGTCACAAACCTTAGTGCATCCATGGCTGACTATGCTAGTTCTGCTTATAGACTTGTGTCCATGCTGTGCATATGCTATTCAGTGGGGTTAGTTCCATACAGGTCCTCAAAGCCTTTGGGGTTGAAACAATGTGAAGTGGTTTCCTACATTCCACCACCTCAAAGATCAGGGAAAATATGCTTATTGTAAGTGACCCATATGGTGGATTCATGCACACAAAGACCACAACCACAATAAATGTAAAGCATATATAAAACCACCGCAGTGCAGCTCATGGCCACCCAGAGTGAAGTGGATCCCAAGGATTCTCTCCACTGCATGTGCAGGTCTTGGTGCAAGGCCTGGAGGGTAGAGAACTCCACATCCATTTCTTTTAAAAAAATTTTTTATTAAAAGAAACAATGAAAAATGTAACATACAGATGTCAAAAAACTTAACATCATAAAATCGCTAGTTGATACATTACATATTGTCATCTTAAAAATAATTGTTAAAGTTACAAAAAAGCATAAAAAGTGACTAAACACTCAAACATTTATAGTGCAAACCCTTCTTATCAATAATTAACAGAAATTTAGTAATATGGACATCTATCTTACACACTATACATATCATTATATCCTTTAGAGCAGTTTCCTTTCTCCTTTACAATATGTATTATACTTTTTGGATCATATTACTTTGCCATTTTTTAGTATGTTTTACACCAGAGGCAAAATGTGATATTTACTACTGTGAGTGTTGTTTATTGCACTTATGAGTATATTCTTAAGTTGCCTCCATTTACCTATAAAGAACTCAAGACCATCCTTTTGTATATCAGAGTAGTAGTGAAAATGTATAAAAATACATTTTTCTTCCACTCTGCAGCTGATGACCATTTTGGTTGTTTTCAAGACTTAGCTATCATATATTGTGCTGCTATGAACGTGGGTGCACATTTATCACTGTGACATGACATTTTCAGTTTTTCTGTGAAAGTACTCAGGAAACGAATAACTGGATTGAATGGAACTTCCAATCCTACTTTTTTGAGGAATCTCAATACTGATTTCCACAGTGGTTGCACCAGTCTGCACTCCCATCAATCATCAAGAAGATTATACACCAAGACCAAGTGGGATCTACCCCAGGAACACATGGGTAATTCTTGATGTTCCTTTTTCCCCACAGTCTCACCAACATTTGTTATCAGTTGATTTATTGATGGCAGCCATTCTTTCTGGAAGGAGAAGAAATCTCAATGCTGTCTTTGTGTGCATTTCTCAAATGATCATTAATTGTGAACATTTTTTCATATATTTATTTGCCATTTGATATCTTTGTCTGAGAATTGTGTGTTTATTTTTGATGCCCATTTGTGGAGATGGTCTTCGAATCTGGGGGTCTTGATGTTTTTCAGTTCTTTATATGTTCTGGATATAAGTCCTTTGTCTTAGTGGCTTTTTGCTAAAATTCTTTCCCATTTTGTGAGTTTACTTTTCACTTAGTTGTTGACTTCTTTTGAAGTGAAAAATGTTTTAATAATATGATATCCCAGTTGTTGAATCTTTGAAGTATTTCCTATGTGGTTTGCATTTTATTCACAAATTCTCTGCCAACCCCAATGTCCCCAAGATTTCTAACTACCTTGTTCTCCAGTTGATTTAGTGTTTCTTTTTTAATATTTAGATCCTTGATCCATTTGGACTTTAGTTTAGTGTATGGTGATTAACATGAGTGTAGTTTGAGTGTTCAGAATGTGGAAAGCCGATTTTTCCAAAACCATTTATTATGGAGGCTATCTTTCTTCTAGGGAACATATTTAGCCCGTTTGTCAAATGTAAGGTGGCTGGTAGTGTTTGCATCTTCTAATTTATTCCATTGATCCTCAGGTCTCTGCCAGTACTATGTTGATTTTTATTACTGTGACTCTGTAGTATAGTTTTAAGTTAGGAATTGAGATCCCTCCTGTCTTGCCTTTGTTACCCAAAATCGCCTTTGCTATTCTATATTTCTTCTGTTTCCAGATGAATTGTAGGAATATTTTCTCTTGATCTGCAAGGTATGTTAATGGTATTTTGATTGGGATTGGATTGAATCTGTGTAACAGTTTTGGGAGTATGGCCATTTTCACAGTGTTGGTTGTTCCTAACCACAATCAAGAAATAACCCTCAATTTTCTAATATCCTCCTCAATTTCTTTTTTTACAGTAGTATAATTTTCAGCACATAACCCTTTTATATTCTTTGCTGGTTGATTACTAAATATTTCATTACTTTATGTGCTATTATGAAAGGTGATATTTCCATAATTTCTTTCTCATGGCATTTGTGTAAAGGAATGCTATTGATTTTTTTGAGTGTTCATTTTGTATCCAGCTATGCTG